CCCCCTCTCCAAATCACTAATTCATTAAAAGGAAGAAATACACTTATCTCTATGAATTTTACAAGCAACTAAAACTAAAAGAGGCTCATCTGCATTAATACACTTCTATGAGAATACAAATTCTTCCTAATGTTAATTCTAAATACTTTACAAGTCACTGGATTTTTCTTTTTCTTTTGTGAGACAAGGTCTTATATAACTGGATTCTCTTCTTAGCCCCAGGACAATGCTGAACTTCTTACCTTCCTATCTCCAACTTTTGAGTGTTGGAGTTAAAGATGTGTACCATTATGCCCACCTTTGATTTTTTTTTAATGTGGTGCTAGAAATAGAACCCAATGCTTCATCCTAGGCAAGCACTCACTCTATCAACTAAACTAATACCCAGCCTTACAGTACAGTAGACACCACTAGTTCTTTCAAATTGTCTACTTCAATTTTGAAAAGTGTTATCTTGTCTTAGTTAAGTTTCTATTGCTGTGAAGAGACACCATGACCATGGTAACTCTTATAAAGAAAACATTTAATTGAGGGGGCTGGCTTATAGTTTCAGAAGTTCAGGCATTATCATCACCACAGCGAGTGTGCAATGTGCGGGCAGATGTGGTGGTGACTTCATCTTGGAAGACAGGTAATAGGACATTAATTGAGACATTAGGCGGTATCCTGAGCAGGGGAGATCTCAAAGCCTGCCCCTATAATGATACATTTTCTCCAACAAGGCCATACTCACTCCAGCAAAATCACACCCCCTAATAATGCCACTTCCTATGAGGTTATGGGGGGCAATTACATTCAAACTATCACATATATATTCCTAAAAGTTGAACAATGCAAATTAAGTCAAAGCATTATTAGTGACTTTCAGATCTGTCTATGCATCTTAGTTCTCCATCATGAGTCCTTAAGCTAATGAGCACCTAACGAGCACTAAAAATGCCAGTATTTTGTTCTTTTCTTATCCTAGAACCAAGCACAGCCACACCATCTAATAGAAGATTGAGAGTATGTCAGTTGAATGAATGAATAAATGACTTAAAATGAAATTGCTCTCTCTATCTGAGATCTAAAACTGCTTGTTAGAAAGCTGAAGTGCCCAGTACTACAAGGGAGACTGGCTATGTGACGGTCACACTGGGCCTTTTCTGGACAAACAGGAAGCACAGAGCTGTTACTTGAGATAAGCTTACCATAGTTGTCACTGGTAATTATTTTTCTTCATGAAGAGAAAATGAAATAAAAATTTCTCTTAAGGTGTTTTATATCCTTCCTTGATTTTATTTTAAAACATTATTCTCTTTTCTATATTTATAAAAGGTGTGTGTCAGAGGGAACAAAAGGCAGGAACTACCTGTATTCACCAAAGCTAAAAGAGTACAGGTAACAAGGCAGGAAGACAAGTAATAGTAACCCAAGGCTTATTCAATGATGGTCTTGACTTGTAAAATTCTTAAAATTTAAGATTTATGAAATAGTTCCAGTTTCCTAAAAGCAGGAAAATCTCACTACTGTTTTGTAACTTCTCCAGTGACATCTATACTACATAAATGCCTGGACCTGGTCACAGGTTAGAAACAGACCACAATTAAACAATTAAACAATGCCTGACAGATGATCTCTTTGATCAGTAGAAGATCAAAGATGGGAGAAGGTGCTGAACAGTATTCAGAAGCAGAGACCTACTGAGTGAGGTTCTCAGAGTCAATAAAAGTCGATGAGGAAAAACATCGGTAGCAAGGGCTGATCAGGTGGCCAGTCATTCACTGAAATGGTTCTTGAAAAGGATCAGTGTTTGAACTGAGAGGCATAGGGACTTGTGGCCCTGAAGCAGGCCCTGGGAAATTAAATCGGTTGCCATGCTGACATGGAAGCGGGTTTCTACAACACATTAAAGGAGCTTACTTTCTGGGAAGAGAAGGGTTACAACTGACAGTTTGTCAAACTCACATATCTTATATTTTTGGTTGTGAGCCTAGCTAGCCGTTTACAGCTGAGCCATCCCTCCAGCCCAAACTCACACGCGTTAAATTTGTAGAAAAGCAACAAAGGCTAATCTGTGATTTCTTAAAGGCAACAGAAACCGATGCGGAATATTCTGCGTGAGTACACTTGAGTTTGGTCTCTTTACACAAGTCGCTGTTGCAAACCTTAATAAATAAATAGATAAAAATAAAGGAACCATCCAAGAGAGCCTGGAGCCCACGCTCAGTGAAAATGCATCGGGAAGCACTGTGAACCAGAGAGTCGCACAAACGCTAGCTCATGGCTGAACTCAAACTTCACTCCAGCTCCAGCATTTGTACCCACCTTCACGGGCTACGTCTGAGCAGGAAGAGGCGTCCCTCCTGTCGTAAGCCTTTGTGGCGGTCTGCGTGTCCCTCGCCCAGTTAAACTTGATGATGGTGTAGAAACCGGGGCTCACTGCAGCGTTCGGGAAGACCCGGATTATATACAGAAGGCCAAACAGGGAAGGCTGTGGGCGGAGAGAAAATGCTGTGGGAGCCTATGATGTGGGGTGGGCGCTGCTCTCCCACCCCAGTTCCCACGAGTCCCCGCCCTTCTCCACTGGGGGCACTTCTCCCTGCAGGGACAGAGGCTTCCTCTGGGGAGGCGACAAGTGCGTGGTAAGTGCGGGGGGGGGGGTGGCTAACGGCTCCCCGCTGGCACACTGCTCACCGGATCCTCCAGACCTGTGTCCTAAACTATTATTACCTGCAGCCGAAGCTTCAAGCTGGAGACACCGGGACTCTCCAGGCGCGGGAGGTGACCTCATCCATCCTCCCCCTCAGCGAAGCCCCTCACACGCCAGAACTCAAGTTTCCACTAGACGCTTTTGCTCTCTAGGTGCAACCCGTACTTCCTACCCTCACTACGCCTGCGCAGGCGCTAGCAGCTAGCAACGTCTGCACCGGTGCACGTGCAAGGGGCGTGGCCCGCAGCCGGCCTGCGTCGTCCTGACCCTTCTCATCAGACTGCCCTATGTTGTGTAATCCTCAACCCGAGCCGCCCCAACTCCAGCGATAGAGTTGACGCTACTGTTCCTACCCAAGCGTATTTTAAGGGTAGACATACAGGATCCAACTGGCTTCCTCTTCTCTTCGGGAAGAGACTAAAATAGTAGGTAGTTGTCACTGTTGAACTGGTGGGAAATGACTTCTAAAGATGGCATCCTTTGGGTTAACTTTAGAGTTTTAAATATGCAGAACTAAGCAGAACTCAACCGCGAGGCATCCAGAGTGAAATCTTTGAAGACATGACCCTCAGATCCATGGTAGTCTGTGATGACGTTTTCACCTGTCCCCAACAAAATAACAAAAGGACTGGAATTGTGTTTTAATGACTGTGCACCATATATACGTGTTGCCCACAGAGGCCAGAAGATGGTGTTAGATCCCCTGGAACTAAAGTTACAGTCAGGCAGTTGTGAACCTCCAGGTAGTTGCTGGGAATTGAGCCTTTGTCCTTTAGAAGAACAGCCAGTACTCTTAATCTTCAGCCCTGATAATATGTTTTTAATTTTATAAAACGGAGTGTATTATATTGTACTCTCCTGCGTGTATGACTTCCATAAAAATTTGATGCTAAAAATTACAAAAAAAAAAAAGGACTAGTCATAATCTTGAAATCAAGTTTGAGTTTGTGGTTAATCTTTATCAGCTTGGCTAGATTTAGCATCACCGTGGAAACACACCACTGGGTGTGTCTGGGAGGGTATTTCCAGGAAAGTTTTAACTGAGGAACCTTGGGCTTGGGTTCTGGACCAATCAAAAAGGAGAAAGTGAGCTAGCTAAGCATCCACATGCTTCGCTTTCTGCCTTCTAACTGCAGATGCCATGTGACCAACTGCCTTACACTCCTGCTCACATGTCAACCATGATGGACTGGTCCCTCAAACTGTGAGCCAAAATGTTAAAAATAAAAAATAACCCCCCTGGCTTTCCAGGTATTTTGGCACAGCAACAAGACAAGTATCAAATATGGGGCCCTTCTTGTTTAGTTATTGATCTGACTTCCTACTTGCTTGTGAAATACAGAAGTCAGGAAGAGAGTAATAGTTGGATCCTTCGCAAATGCAGTTAAGGCTGGGGTAGAGGAATAAGTGGCCCGTGTTAACACTCCAGTTAAGTCAGACACTACTGATTGTGGCTGTGCATAGGACATTACAACTGTCCCTTTCTTTCTTTTTTTTTTTTTTTTCTTTTCTTTCTTTCTTTCTTTTTCTTTTTTTTTTTTTTTCTTTTTTTGCCTTTGTCTTGTCTTTAAGCAAATTATACTGCTCCTGTCAAACCAATCAAATCCTATCCAGAAAAACTTTCCTCCCTCTCTCTCTCTCTCTCTCTGTCTCTCTCTCTCGTGTGTGTGGTGGCATAGGTGTGTAAGTCAGGCCAACTTCTAGGAGTCAGTTTTCTCCTACCATTTAGATGCCTGGGATTGAACTCTGGTCATCAGACTTGGCAGCAAGCACTGATGAGCCGTTTTGCTGGTCCTTTTCTACTTTTTTTTTTTTTTAATAATCTAGATTTTCGTTTGATCTTTCCACATCACTGGCACCTGTTACCATATCTTTATCTTAGTATGATTTTCTGCATCTCAATACCAGACCCTAAGCATCACTGGCTACCTATATCTGAATCTCCTATTAATTAACCTTTTAAAAATAGTTGTCTGGGTGTAATTACTAATAGCTTGGTACTGTTTCTAACCAATGAGTATAGATTTTAGTAAACATTTTATCACCCACTGTAATGTTTGTGGCTGTCTCTCCTTCACCAACTTAATTACGAATACCTAAAGAGCAACGGATATATTTATCTTCCCTTTTCTCATGCCTAGAACACTCTCAAAGTGGTAGTGCCCAAATGTAAGTGGAATTAATAACTAAACACATCCTTTGCACAGTGTGCTGTAATTCAGTTTAAAAAAATAATTGTATTTATTTGACATCTTCCTGGTTTGCAAATGATAGTTAGGAATTAAGGAACTGTGCCTAGATGAACACGTTTTCCCCAGGGACTCTGGTCAGTTTTACATGTGAGTGGGAAGAGAAGAAAATATGAGGTGAAGGCAAGAAGATGAAATAGTGAAGAATCTCCAAGTAGAACAGGGGTCCTGGAGTGACTCTTCAGTGACTCTGCGCTCTGGTTCATCCCAGATGACACCCTGTCATCCAATAGGAGAGTGGCCGTCCCAAACAGTGCAACCTCCATTCTACCCTATGGAGTAAAAAGAGAAGGTTTTTGCTTTCTGTTTAATTGCTGCTTCTCCACACACCTAACCTAGTACTAGAGAGTCCTCCACTGCAGAGCAACACCCAAGTCCCCATCATTTTTAGGTGCACTGTCCTTTCTGATTCCTCTTTGAGGTTCCCTTACACCTGGGGCTTTCCCTCTTCTCTCATTCATAAGTATCCGCATCTTTAATTCCTCAGTTTTCTTTGAAGGTGGGTGTCACTATTCTATAGGATTTAGAGTTAACTAAAACAAAATCCTAGTTGCAATCTTTGAACCTCCCCTTCAAAAAGGATCAGCCCCAATAATCATTACTTCCTGTTTTGAACATGCAACAGTCACATTCTTTACCTTCTTACCAATTCCTGTATATGGGGCCTTTGCGTTAGTTCTATGTCCAGTTTGAAGCACCAGAAACATTAAGTGGTCCCCTATGCATTCAGCTTTAAGGAAATGAAAACTTTGGGGTATCTGTGCTGATAAGGATTCCCCACCTCCTTTTTTTGTTTTTTGTTTTTTGGTTTTTTTTTTTTTTGGTTGTTTTGTTTTTGTTTTTTTAAACAGAAAATGTTTATTCTGAGAGGGGCCTCTGCAGGAAACATATCTATATTACAACTTTGCTATGCTTTCAGCCAATTGGATCAAGGGGGAAAACACTGGTTCACAGTGAATCAATTGGAGTTGCTATCTCAGGAACTTTGATTAGGACTGGACTACTGGTCCACTAAGGACTTGAAGTTATAGACTTGGGCTTCTGTAGTCTGGCTTGTGGATTGGGAACTAGGGGGTGCTGGTCTGAAGAGAATGTGGCTTGAATGTGAGGTGGCAGCAGAACTGGCCATGCGCAGTGTCTATTTTCCGGTCTTTCTTGAGGTTCCAACCTTCTCCAGAGGCCCAGCCACGTGTCTTGAGTGGGCTCAGTAAGACACCTTCTCTCAAAATAAATTTCCGGGCTGGGGAATGGTTCACAGCATAAGACCAGAGTTGGAATTCCCCGCCCCCAAACCCACATCGCTGCCAGCTGGGCTTGACCGTCTTGAGTCCCAGTGTTCAGAAGGCTGGGGCAGGGGATTTCTGGAGCAAAGTGGTTAGTCAGACTAGCCACGTCTGTGAGCTCTGAGGACAATTCAGAGACTGCCTCAATGAATACAGTGATAAGAGATTGAGGAAGACTCCTGCCATCAACATCAGGTCTCCACACACATGTATGCAGAGGTGCATATAGGAACTAAAAATAAGTAACAAAGTATCTCTCTCTATATATGAGCAAACAAGTTTTTTTTTTTTTTCTGCTAGCTCAAGCTGCTTTGTCTATTATAATCAAAATTGACTGCAGGGCAGTGGTGGCACCTCCCAGCACTTGGGAGGCAGAGGCAGGCAGATCTCTGTGAGTTCTAGGACAGCCTGGTGTACAAAACAAGTTCCAGGACAACCAGAGCTGTTTTGAGAAACCCTGCCTCGAAAAACCAAAAAATTAAAAGAAAATTATTAATACAATATCAGAAAAAAAACCCAGGTGTTATGGCAAAGAGTGTTGAGATCGTCCACTATCCTATCTTTTTCCTTTTAAATTTTTGAGATTTTTATTTTTATTTTGTATGTTAGAGTGTTTGTCTGGGTGTATAATCTTGTGAGGCACATGCATGCAATGCCAGTGGAGGCCAGAAGAGGGCAGTACCTCCCCTAGCATTGGAGTTGCCGATGATTTGTGATCTATCCTGTGGGTCCTCTGAGAGCGCAACCAGCAGTATTAACCTCCCGACCCATATTTTTCTAGACCTCTCTATGGAATTGCCCTCGAGTCCCTGTTCATGCTCTGTCATATGCTCTTTCTTGAGGCACTGACTCAACTCCCCCCCCATCCCCCTCACCAGTTCTTCATCCCTCCTGATCCAGACACAATCTTTTTCGCACAGTGGATAGATGAAAGGAGGTTGGGATTCAGTAGATCTGAAAAGAAAGAGGAGGTCACCTGTGATGTGCACAAAGGGTAATCCCAAAGACCAGACAGACAGAGGACTTGTCAACCCAGAGCCTGAGCACCCCCAGGTTAGCCTAGACCTCCATCCTAGGCCCACATTTAGATGGCCCTACAGTGGCTGCCAGAGATAGGAAGGAGATCTGAGCCTGCCCACGGCTATTCCTCTAGCCGGGGTAGGTAATGGCTCACCCAAAATTTTCAGGATTTCTGGGAAAAGGGGTGTGTGTGAAAACAGACAACACACAGACCAAGAAAATGTCCTGTTTATAGGGGGGCTCTGTAGGTGGGAAGCCCAGGGATGTTATGGAAGGAAGCAGTTAGGGAAGGAAGAGGCCCTGCCAAGCCTCCTGGATTAGCTTTGAGGCAATAAATTTGTACCTGGCCTTTGATATGGCCATTAGCCTGGGTACATTTAAATGGTTATACCTGAGCATCCAAGGCCACAAGTCACATTTGTTTCAAAACTGCCTCGTCCCTCCTCCCCCCTCCCTCTCTCCCTCCCTCCTTCTCTTCCCCTTCCTTCTTCCCTCTTTCCCTCTGTCTTTCTCTTTCTCCTTTCTTCCCTCTCTCCTTCACTAGCCCCTCCCTCTCCCTCCCTTCCTCAGCATCATACTGAATGGCCCCAGGCCAGCCTTGAATTTCTGGGCTTTCTACTCCCAAGTAGGTGGTACTAATGACAATATACCTGGCTCAGTTCTCTGAGCCTGAACTTGCTCATTGGGAAGCAGGGATCATAAACAGTTTCTACTATGTAGAAGTGTAGAGAAAATGAGCTATGCATATGGTATGCTCAATATGTAACATGTTGTTAATCAGTGTAGCTGCAGTACCACTCCCAGACATTAAGAGTCTTTGTGGATCCTCCTCAAGGGACCCTGCAGACCTCATGCAAGGATGGGGCATTCCTCTGCTCAGGCAAGGGATTCCTTGCTCTTTATACCATCCCTGGCAGGACATGGCTAGGCTGTGCGGTAAGTAGAGCCTGGGCTCCTCTCTCACCTCCCCCACCCTAGGGCTCCCAGGCAGACCTTGACAGTCCATGTGGCAGAAGTTCTCCGAGTGACTCTGGTAGTCGTTGCACCAGTAATGGCTATTGATCTGGAAGATCCCATAGTCAAAGCTGCCGTCTACATTCTCATTCACCTTTGAGATGTTGAAGTTGCTTTCCACAAAAGCCAGGCACAGCCCTTGGAAAAGAGAAGAGGCTCGTGCTTTAGGGAGGATACAAACTGAGTGGGAAGGAGTTGACTGGGCTGGGGGGGGGTGTGGGGGGGAAGAGGGCAGGGAAGCAAGGAATCAGGAGAGAGAAAAAGGTTCAAGAGGCTAGATAGTCTTGAAGAGCTAGAAATACCCACAGGCTTCAGTCCATTTCCCTATCCATCCCCCCATCTTCCCACCCACTGAGGGTTTCTGCACTTGCTGAGTAGCTACTGTGTGCCAGGAACTATACACAGCCCAGTAGACTGGTGTTGACTTCAAGGGGCCTAGTACAGATAGACCAAAAATATAGGCTTAACCTCTCTCTCTCTCTCTCTCTCTCTCTCTCTCTCTCTCTCTCACACACACACACACACACACACACACACTCACATATACACTCTCTCTCTCTCTCACACACACACACACACTACAGAGCAGGTTATGTGGAGAAAGTGTCACAAGGCAGGTGTGCACAAATTTCGTGTGTAAAGGAGAGATCCCTTCCATGCGGAATCATGGATGAAGCTTTGCTTTGTCCTGGAATGCCCTGTGCTCTAGACAATTGGTCATTTCATTCAGTGTCACTGCCTCAGAATCTTCCGAATTCCTCATTTAAATGGTTACTTTGTGCGTGTATTTATTTTTTTAAGGTTTTAAGTGTCTGAGTATGAGAGAGAAAGGTGAGAGGAAGAGAGAGAGAGAGAGAGAGAGAGAGGGAGAGGGAGAGAGAGAGGGGGAGAGAGGGGGGAGAGAGAGGGAGAGAGAGAGAGAGAGAGAGAGAGAGAGAGAGAGAGAAGCAAAAGACAGGCAGACAGCCAGCCAGGCAGAGACAGAGGCGAAGAGAGAGTGAGATTGCATGTTGAAGACGGAGACCCCTTTAGGAGTCAGCTCTCCCCTTGTCCCCTTGTGCCTGTTGGACCAGGGCCTTTCTTGCTTCTGAAGCCGCATTGTGAACTCCAGGCTAGCTGGCCTGTGAGCTTCAGGCTGCTTTCCCCTTCTCTGTCACTCATTTCACCACAGAATGCTGGGATTATAGATGTGGACAAAAATATTCATGTGTGTTGTGTGTATGTGACTTCAGGGTAACTGTGAGGCCAGAAGCGTCAAGTCCCCTGGAGATGGAGTTGCAGGTGATTGTGAACTGTTTGACATGGTGCTAGGACTCAGACTTGGGTCTTGTGGAGGAGTGGAACACACTCTTAACTGCTGAGCCCCAAAAAAGTTGTTTTTTAGGGATCAAACTCAATTGTCAGGCTTACATGCATTTTTTCCTGATGAGCCACCTGCTGACTGCTTAAGCCATTTTTGTCTGTTTGTTTGAGACAAGAACTGACTTATGTAGCCCTGGTTGGCCTCATAGCAACCCTCTGGGAGTCAAAGGGCTACATCATACACTCAATGCATTTGTCGCCACCAGCCAATACTCTGTATCTTTGTGCATGCTTGTTGCTGCTTTTGCCCTCCTAGAATGTGATCACTGTGAGGGAAAGAATTTGGTTTATACATCTCAAACAGCGGTGCTCAGTAAATAGCCATTGATTTAAATGTGGCAAGATGGGATAGGATTCTTGGTGAGGGAGATGGCTCTGTGAACTTGACTTTGAAAGACAAATGGCAAAGAGAGGAAGATGGAAAGAAAGAAAACTAGAGGAGGTGTGGAGAGGAGCTGGAACAGTGGCACTCACAGTCGGGCAGGGAGTAGCCCTCAAACCCATCCACGTCCTCTTCATGCAGCATCTTGGCCAAGGCACAGCGATTGATGATGTTTCCGCCATTCACCACCAGGAGGCAACTTGCCATGCAGATAAGCAGTGCCCTCATCATCACCAAAAGGAACAAGGCACCTACCAGTCTCTGAGAGCCTGGGGAATCTGAAGAGAGACATCACGTTTCCTGTACACTCAATGATCAATGCCTGGTGAATTTCAGTATCCCCCACCCCAACCTCACTTCACAGCCATCCTCATGCCTCTGCTTCCAGAGCCTTATTGTCACAGTCAGGAGCCACCACACTCAGCTCACGTTTTAACTCATATTTTTGGTCACAGAAAATTGAAATACAAAAGGAGAGAGGGAATAATCTTGTGATCCTCCATATACCCATTGCCCAGATTCAACAGCTCAAAATCAAGACCACTCTGGCTTCATCTGAGGGTCCTCCTGTAATGGGTGCTGAGTAGTTAGGCACGGGCAGCACTTGGGTGCCAGGATGGCAAGTGAGTTTGGCAAAGGGGAGTAGAGAAGATCATGCTTCACCAGCATTTGTGGTATGTATTCAGAAGGACTGGAACACTGGGGTGCCAATCTCCCCAACTCATACTCTAGACACATGAAACTTGGCTTTCACCACTGCAGACCATGCCTTGTTCAATTCCTGGTGGGCTACTTGTAGGTTCTATTGGTTTGTTTCTGTCCAAGGTGTGTCAAGTAAAAGTGATCTTGTTATAGAAATAACCTGCACTTTAATGCACTCTCTCTCTCTCTCTTTCTCTCTCTGTATGTGCACTCTGTGTGTGTGTGTGTGTGTGTGTGTGTGTGTGTGTGTGTGTGTGTGTGTGAAGATCAAGGACACTGAATTCCTACCTATTGCCAGCTATCATAGGCTGGACTGCCTATGACTTTTAACAAAATACTTACTTCTCTGGATCCCATGTCTAAAATGAAGATTTATTTATTAATACCTACTCAATCAGAATGATATAATTATTAAGATAAACAACAAATATCCAAGATGTTGTTTTGCATTCCTTACAAGGTGGAACCAGGAATGTGGCAGATTTCTGGGCCACAATAGGAACATGGTGTGGGCATAATAATTGGCTTGAACAAGAACTACCATGGGCACCTAGTCTGAGGTGGTGGAAGCTGGAGAAATATCTGGGCTTGTGTACAAAAAATCTGGATACTGTATGGCATTATATTGCCTTTGTATTGTTTGACTGCTGAGGAAACAGCAACTGTTAAAGGAAATGCTGCTGGATTAATTCAATTTATATATTTTAAAAATGCTTTGACTTCAAATTTTAAGGACAAGTTACTGGGGAAAAGGATTTCTATTTTTGTTCCCACAGAAAATAAAAAGCTGTGGATTCCTTCCAGACTAATGTGGTTTGATCAAGCCAGACCCCCTGAAACAACATCCCAGGTGATCCAACATTCAAAACAGTTGGGACAAGCCAGCCTTGCAGACTACAGCCAGGATTTCTGCATCTTCTTAGAATCCCCCATGACAGCACCCTTTACCAGCAGGAAGTAGTTTGGAAAGAATGATGCCCAAATTCCCAAATAGTGTTTATAAATGTTTGTTTTCATTTAAATGGACTTAGTTATAAATGGTTAATGATCACAGCCAATTCTTTCTAAAGGTAAAAAGTAAATTATGATATAGATATGAATACTTTGTTTTGGAATGGATTTTCATTTATTGATACAATTTAAGGTCAATTTTGTGATATCTATATTTCTCTTGTTTAGGTATTGTGTTTATATCGCTCATTTAGAAGTGTAATGTATATAATTTAGTACAGATTATAGATAATTACCTATAATAGTCAAAATTTATAGTGTTATGTTTTCTAGATATATAGAGAAGTATTTGAGATGGATAGGAATTCTTCAAACCTTTCAAAGACTTACATAAAATGGCATTTAAAATGCTTTAGGGTTTTTCTTGACAGTGAGACACTAATGCTCCTGGCAACACCACCTATGTCAGAAAGGAAGATGGGCATCGAAGAAACACATATGGAGTTTGCTTCCAGTATGGCAAGACTAGCCATTTGGACAAGATACTGCTTTTGTCTAGACTGTTTGACTTTATACTGTATAAACTGGATATGCAGGACCCACAGAAAAGTGACTGCTGATACAAGATGGACATTGCTACAGAGTTCCTGCTTCATGGAAGAGTCTGCCAGACAGTATGCAGGACACAGAAAAAAGTGACTGACAAACTGCCCATATAAGCAGACAGTTTAAAGTTTCCTGCTTTGCTGAAGAGTCTGCCAGACACACTATGGTCTATGGGCTGAAGATGGAAGATTACAGAAGAACTTCGAGTGACTGACCAGGCAGTGAGTTGTCTCTGTCATTTCTAGAGCTTATATATATTTTTCTGTGGTCTTTGAAGGAGTTGAAGGCAGATAGTTATGGTTATAGTTTTCCTTAGTTAAGCTTAAAGATAAATTACATATAGGACTTTAGACTCACAAAGATAGATGATGGAATATTTTCTTAAATATTACTAAATGTTAATGGACTAAATATTGTTAACTGTGATTCTTATTTGATAACTGTTTGATATATTTTGCTATATTAAGGTTAAAACCCTTTTTATTTAGACAGAAAAGAGGAGATGATGGGAGATGTCATTCTGTAAATATGTTTCTCATACTCGTTAATGAATAAAGCACTGTTGGCCAATAGGAAAGCAAGATAGGTGGGACTAGGAGACAAGGAGGAAAGAGGAAGTCAAGTGAGGAGTCAAGATGGAGAGTCTGGAGAGAGCAGAAGTCTGGGTCCACTCCCCGGTAAGATAAGACCATGTGGAGATTAATAGAAATGGGTTAATACTTAAGACAGAGCTAGCCGATAAGAAACAAGTAACTGGCCAACAGCATTATATCAAATACAGAGTCTCTGTGTGTTATTTGGGGCTGGCGTGGCGGCGGGACAAGACCAGCGGCGGGAGGAAAAACCTTACTTGGTCCTCCTCATATTGCTTAGCAAAACCCAGACAGTGTTTTGACCTTGCAACCAAAATTAGCATTGTCAGTGAGGGACAAAGGGACTCTCTGTACCTCCAGATACATAACTCTTAGGAGGTGTTCTGGCCAAGGATGGGAAGCCTGAGTCTAATCATGAAGAAATAAAGGAGTATCTGTAAAATAACTGGGTTCTCTTCTTCAAAGTATTCTTTCCATGAGAGCACAGTCATAGGGATGCATGTCTTTCTCTTTAAACCAGGTGTGTGATACTGAGGGCAAAGGCCAGGATCCCCCCACCTCCCCTTCAGCATGTGCAGGGACAAGATGGCTTCTCTGGTGGCCTCACCTGTCTCCTAGTCTCTTGTTCTGCCTGTCTTTGCCACACAGCGTGCACTCAGGACATTCTCTGGCTGTTCTTACTGCCCCACTCCACTGTTGCAAATAGAACAAATGGCCCTGTTGAATTAGGATTTCAGGTAAATATCAAATCACTGTTTAACTGACAGATATGTCATGCAGTCCTCCCCATTCTGACTCAGAGTGTCCCTCAGAGATAGGTTTCCCAGAGCTTGGGTTGCTGAAAGGTCTTCCTTGGCCCTAAACCCCTCAGGAGACATATGGCTCTATCCAGATTCCAAGCCTACCTACCTCTCTGGCCCTCACTTCCAGGCAGTCCAGGGCCTTCTGGGTGGATCTATAGGACAAGGTGGTTTGTGGCAGGAGCCTCCTCTTCCTCACCAAGCACTCTCCAGCCCCATCTGGCTAGTGGTTCTCCTTCCTCTCAAGAAGGCACGCGTTCTTGGTCACCCCAGCCTTCTGGAACCCTGGTTCTGTGACGTCATCGCTCCTGTAAATATGCTGATTTGAACTGTGCAAACTGTCCAAGCTTTGGGTAGAAATGGCAGGTGGATCTGGAAGGCAAGGTGTCCCATGTAAGGCAGACCAACAGGCAAAACCCTGCTACCTGCCTTCCTTTCTGGGAACAGGACCATGTTGGCTTCTTAGGAAGAGCTACCAGTCACAGGTCCCTGTCCCTGGGATACAAGGGTGTGCGTCCATGTTTGTATTCTGAATTGGAACTCTGCAGAGCTAGGGAGCTTTGCACAGGACCCAGAGACTGCATTTTGAATTTTTGTGGACACAGCCCCTGTGAGGTTTTAAGCCTTTGTGAAAAGTATGTGAAGTCTCGGCCAGGATCCGGTTCCAGAGGCAACACTCCAGGGACCCACATATACCTTCCTTCTGCTGCCTGGGACTCAGTAGTATCCCTTCTTCCATAAACAAATTTGAGTTGTGTTTCTGTTGTGTGCTCACAAAGAAGACCTACCTGTTATAGAATGGCAATACTTCAAATGGGCTCTGAAAAAATATAAATTATGTCATTAGACAAAATGCACTTTGTGGAAAGGGAATTATGGGTCAGGCATGACTGAGAAACACAGCGTAATTTAGAAGTCGGGAAACAATGCCCACCATCTCAAAGCTCATACTTGCGATGCTAGCCAGCAGCCACTAGAGGACAGAAGCAGCCCATGTCCAAGGTTTCAGAGTTTATGTTTCCAGGAGTGCCTTCCCTTAGATGCCCTAGCCTCCCCCAGTTGGCTGCTACCATTCCCTTTATTCTTTGTACAGCTTTGGGCTCTGGTTCTGATTCTACCTTGATGGTCCATCAGCACCAGCAGACCTCCCTGCATCCCCAGATCTTGGTGAAAAAGGGCCCTGACTTGAGCAAAGGTAGTCACAATTTTTGGTTTGTAGAGATGGCATCAGAGAGTTGTGTTTCTCAGGGTATCTTTAGAGAAATCTCCCATTCACTTTGCCTGCAGCCCCATGATTAGGAAGCCGAGTGATTTATGGGGATAGTTAGGGCAGTATCACAGGCTTAGCTAGCCTGGTTAGCACATGGTAAACAGTGTGACACTGGAATGAATGACTCACTAAAGGAGAAAGGAAAGAGCAGAGTTAATGCAGACAGGTGAAGTGATGGTGGGGTGTCCATGGGACGAAGCAGAGGAGCCTTCTGAGGAGAACAGACATTGACCCCAAGTGAGTCCTGCCAGCAGGAATGCAATGCTCAACACCGCCAGGGGGAATCCGTTTATCTTCAGAGCACTCCTAAGAATGAGCTTCAGAGAAGCTCAGCATCATTCACAAAGTCTCAGAGCTGCTAGGAGGCAGCCTACAGCCAAACCGGGTTTGACATGAACATGTGGGCTAAGCTGCTGCTCAAGGGCACTCACATGAATTGTCTTTATCTTTGTATCTTTTTTGAGGCAAGAATTCCCTCTGTAACCCAGGATAGCCCCAGACCTCCTGGTTCTCTTTCTGCCTCTGCCTCCCAAGTGCCGATGGGCTTACTGTTGAGCCCCAATGTCCAGCTCTACCGTTTGCTATTTGAAGTAGCCGCATCACATGTTGCAGACCTGTGAGGCGGCTTAATATGTTCTCACTTTCTGTTCATTGATAGTTGAGTCTAGATGCCTAATCAGATGAAGCTTTAAACTTTTGTTGAGTCTAGTTGTCTCCCCAAAGGTATTTTCCTAGTTTGTTTCTGTTACTGGGGTTAAAAATACCCTGACAACAAATAACTTAGGAGAAAAAGGATTTGTTTCAGCTTGCAATTCCAGTTTACAGCCCATTGCTATCAGGGAGTCACCATGAAGAGATTGAGACAGCCGGTCACATCATATCCTAGCGAATCATGAATGCTGCCTGCTTTCCCTCTTCTTATCAGCTTGGTTTCTCCACTCTTAAACAATTAAGGAGCTCTTGCCTAAGGAATAGCACTGCCCACACTGAGCAGGCTCTTCCTATATAAGTTGACTTGGTTAAGACAACCCCCAACAGACATGCCCACGGGGGCAATCCAAAGCAGACAATCTCTTGTTGAGACTCCCTTCCCAGATGATTCTAGGTTATATTAGCAATTACAGGTAACTATCACAAGCATACAGTGTCTTCCTTTACCGACATCAGTATGGTGAGTGTTCAAGGTTACTCCGAGCAATACATGCTCTTAACAGCTAGGCCATCTCTCCAACCCAGTTCCCTTTTTAAAAACCAGTTTTTAAATAAAGACTTATGTAGTATTATTTAAGCCCTTGCAGACTGTAAGGTCTCTGTGAGAACTTAGACTTTGTCACCATGGCACAAAAGCAGCCATAGATAATGCATCCGTGAATGAGTCTGTGCTGCAGTAAACTTCCTTTGCAAAAATAGGTGGTGGCTGGACGTGGCCCATCAGCTCGCCACTGATCTATTGTATAAATAATGTGTTGTGTGTTTCCTTTGAAACTAACCCTTTTAGTATGAAGCAATCATTTTCTCGTAATGGTGGTTTTAAGTTATTTTCAGAAGCAGGATCATTTTTCAAATGAAACATAAAATTCATCTAGCCAAGAGCTAGAGAGATGGCTCAGCAATTAAGAGCACTGGCCGCTCTTCCAGAGGACCCAGGTTCACTTCTCAGCACCCACATGGCCACTAACAGCCAACAGTAACTCCAGTTCCAAAGGGTCCGTTGTCCACTTCTGGCCCCCATGGGCACTGCATGCAAAGGACCTGGAAGGTCTTAGAAATCTTAACTACAGTAGCTAAGATCATGAAGTGAGTGTACCAAGACAACCAGTCCCAGAAACAAGCATTTCTCAAACCTGCCCCTTCTTTAGCTTTTCAGTTGCCTCATTGGCCAGAAGAAGTCATATGGCTAGTTTGTGAAAAATGTGAATTCCTGGTTCATCTGTGGTTACCTAATAGTCAATCACAGGTCACAGATGAGTGGATCCCTGTGCCTGGACAGCTCAAGTGGAAGAGGGCCTAGGATTAGCCCAGGCACTATCGTGGACCCTTTGTTTCTGGAAGAGAAAAAAAAAATGCATCATTGGCATACCTCCACTGTGACTGGCTGGAGTGGAGAAAAGGAATTCCTCAAGACAGTGGGTGTTGTTGTAGGCAGACAAAGCAAGTGTCACCCATTTTCTCCAGACCATGCTTTCTTAACAAGACCAAGTACACGCTTAGCCAGAGCTAGCCCTCATACTTATGCCCCCAAAACTCATTTGATGTTCAGAATTCAAACACTTTCCCTGAACTATTGAATGTAAAATCACTTCCTGTCTTCACAGGTCCTGATACAAATGATGAGAGACACTACATGCCTGGTCCTCCTTGTGCCAGCATCTGATCACCATCCCGCTACCTTGGAGACTCAGTGCTGAGCCCTTGGATGTGCTCATAAAGCCCAGGAATTGTTTCCCATACTTAAACCAGAGTTGACATCTCTAAGCCACATGGGGAACCAACTGAAGCTTCCCTTCCTGTATTCCATTAGCCTGTGGCATTGGCCTCTCCTCTGGGTGCCCAACATGCATTGTCTGCCCCTACCTATCATTTTTTTTTCCAGCTTGTCCTTACCAAGCTTCTCTATCCTCCCCTCTGGACTGGGCTCCTTGTGGCTCCTTGTCCTGCACACAATGATTTCCCAGAGGTGGCATCCCTTCTTACTGTTTTGAGATAGAGTACCATATATCCCAAGTGAGTCTCAAATTTCACAGGTCGCAGAGAAAGGATGCCCTTAAACTTCTGATCCATCTTCCTCTGTTTCCCCAGATCTGGAATCACAGGCTTGCAGCACCGTGCTTGGTTTATTCCATGCTGGAGGTCAAGCCCAGGGCTTATGCAAGTGCTCTCTACCAGCTGAGCTAGGTCCCAAAGCCCTTCCTTTTGTTTTAGTGAGACAAAGCCTCACTCTGTAGCCCAGGCTTTACTGGAACATATAGGAGTTCACCTGCCTGAGCCTGCTAGCCCACCCCTCCTCATGCTGGTATTACAGGCATGAGCCACCATGCCTAATCTAGGGGCCCCACCCCTTTGAGGTTTCACTGTCTCCAGTGCCACCACACCAGGAACAAAGTCGTCAACACATGGACCCTTGGGGGACATTCCAGCCCTATTCAAACTTCAGCAGCCATAAAGCAGCCCTGATTTTCCCTCCAGCTGTCTGCGCTGGCAAATATCCCCCAAGGGTCCACGCTAACAGGGAACTGCAGGCTCCTCAAGCCCTGTCATTAAGGCTGGCATCTTGCTCCATTCCCTGTTGTACTGGCTGGTGGGGAGGCTGATGCACAAATGGGCAGCCCAGAAGGAGCCTTCTCCCGCTTGCTTTTCCTTCCTCCAGGCTTGTTCTTTCTGCTTCGGGAAGCCAGATGCTTTGCAGTTTAATTACATGCTGCAGTTGGAAGTACAGAATGTCAGCGCTGGAAAGGAAGGACCTCGTTACAGATAATAGCTACCAGCATTTATTGAGCATTTACTCTGTGCCAGGTGCTGTGCCAGGCCTGTTTCCAGGCACGGCCTTATTTAACTTTTGAAGCATCATCTATGTTCTGCACAAAGAAACTGAGGCTTAAGAGAGGCCTCAGAGTATTGCCCAAAGTGTTCTAGGTGATACTTTGTAGCACCAAGTATCAGTTGACAAAGGGGTGGGGATCCCAAATGCTACATCCCAAACACCCCATAGGGAGCTCCAAAAGCTTACCACAATGTCATGGCCAAGAGAAATCTTGCAGCAAAGAAACCTGTTTGGGTCCGTGTCTCTTGTGTGGCAGGCTTTACAGAAGCACTGCTCCGGAGAGGACAGTTTAAGGCCTACAGATAATGACCATTTTCCTCACTACAGATGGGGTCATGAAGCTTAGGCACTTTGGGAACCGACCAGACAAAGGCCTTGGGGTTCATGCTTCCCCATACCCAGAACACAGGAAAGCAGACAGCAGCTTGCCTGGTCCACTAATCTGTTTTTGTAAGGAAAGTTTTAGTGAAGACTCTCTCTCTCTCTCTCTCTCTCTCTCTCTCTCTCTCTCTCTCTCTCTCTCTGTGTGTGTGTGTGTGTGTGTGTGTGTATGCAAGTGCATGTGGGGGTCAGGGATCAACCTCAGGGGTTGTTCCCCAGGCACTATTCACCCCCAACTTTTTTAAGATAGGGTCCTTCACTTGTGGGAACCCAGAAAATAGACTAGGCTATTCAGTGAGTCTCAGGAATCCTTCTGTCTCTGCCTCCCAAGTTCTGGTTTGTGCAAGTTTGTGTCAATATGTCCCCACCTTTTTAAAAACATGGTTTCTAAGGATCAAACTCAGGTTCTCATGCTGCAAAGCAAGCACTTTGCTAAGCTGTCTCCCCAGCTTCCTTGATTAATGGCTGAACCAATCAAAACCCTAGAGAGGAGGGTTGACTTGTCTAAAATCACACAGCCAACCAGGAGCCCAGAAGAAACATATTCTAGATTTCTCCAACTCTAATATTCTCTAGAACATGAACCAAGTGGTCATAGGGTTTCACCTGTTATTCTGCACCCAGGAAGCTGAGGCAGGGGAATCTTGAGTTACAGATCAGCCAGTACACTGTAGCAAGACCTTGTTTCAGTCAAACAATCAAGCCTAAATCAGATAGGTGGCAGAGAGTGAGTCCTATGACAAATGTCTCTGCTCTCCATTGCACACTGCTTATATGGCCACTGCCCCTCTCCATAGCTATAGGAGCCTCCTCCCAGGCCTTTCTCCCACCCACTTATGTAAAGCCATGGTGGCTCATACAGTCTGAGGACCTCCCTCTACCCACTTGCCAGAGCAGAATAGTGCTGGCACCCTAGTAGCATCATCATGTGACCAAGGGGTGAACAGAGCAACTAGTGTTTATTTCTGTACCCAATGCAGTAAAAATGTCATTGGCTTCTCTTCTGTCTGCCAACTGGAAACACTAGAGCATTTGGGCAGGAACTGGGCAGAAGGCAAATTTTCCTTCTTCAGGAAGAACTTACTAAGATAATGAATCATGTCAATAGGAACCAAGGAGGGCTGCTTGTGGTGCTTCACAGAGTACATTCCACTCAAGGACTCTCAGCTTCACTGAAGTGCACCATCTTTCCATAGTCAACTATTTGCATTTTTAAGGGGGAGAGAAGGTATAGGTGGATATGCAAATGAACTTGGTCTTACCTCTGTTACAGTAACTCACATGTGCACAGAACACTGTATCCTGTTTACAGTGTAGATTCTAATATCTGCTCACAAGGACATTTTAGTCCCCAGAGTTCAGCTAGCCAGCAGCATTCATAAGGGAGGTTTTATTAACCTCTGCCTGAGAGGGGAGCATTTCTTGGCAACCCTGATAGCCCACGCATGCCAGAGAACTAAAGGTTAACTCAAACAGCTGCAGGGACAGGACATTACAGCATCTGGGTGGCCCCTGGCAATTCCTCTTGGGGGCCAGATTGTCCACATGGCCCTTCCATATCTGAGAGATGCAGACTGTGGCTGAAGTACAGGGTAAAAATAGTCCCATGTGGGTGGCAGCTGGGCCCAGAGGCACCTGCTTCATTCTCTGTGGAGGATGATGGCAACCCAGGTGACAAACAGCTCCTGGGTTCCTGAGGCTTCACCCTACACCTTGGACTTCCCATCTTTCCTTCACAGCAAAATACACATCTGACTACCCACACAGATCTACCACGTCTGTCTATCCACACAGATCTACCATATCTATCTACCCACATAGATCTACCACATCTGCCTATCCACATACATCAAGTTCTACAGAGTGTGGACTTGGTTTAAGCTTTGTGGGTCTATATATTGTCTGTGCCACACTGCTGGCCATGATTTCACAAACTTTTCTCCATGTCTCCAAGGGCTAAGGACTTCTTTCCCCAAGACTTGCTGTGAGAGCTGAACAACAGTGAGAGTTGCTGATGTGTTTCATTTTGCAGCCTTAGTTTTTCTTCCTTTCCAGCACCATGTCTGCCTGTACATAGACATGCTTCCTGCCATGATGATAATGGACTAAACCTCTGAACTGTAAGCCAGACCCAATTAAGTGTTTTCTTTTATAAGAGTTGCTGTGTCTCGAGCTTCCTGAATCACAGCGGCTTGGAAGGGGCAGGAGGTGATGCCCGGGCCGCCCTGGGGAACCGCAGCTACGGGCTGGGCACGTGGCTAGACTGCTGCCCCGGGGGCGCACCGTTGACCGCCAGCGATGGGGTCCCCGCGGGGCTGGCGCCCGACGAACACAGCCTGTGGGTGTCGCACGTGGCTCAGATCGCAGTACTCTGTGTGCTGTTGCTCACCGTGGTCTTCGGTGTTTTCTTCCTGGGCTGCAACCTGCTCATCAAGTCCGAGAACATGATCAACTTTCTGATGCAGGAGCGCAGGCCATCCAAAGGATTTGTGATGCCATCGTTGATAAGGAATGCCTTTGCCTGTCAGGGTTCCCACAAAACGTAAGGGTTCAGAGGCCCGGAAGATGCTCAGACTGAAAAGTGCTTGCTACAGAAGCACAAGGACTTGAATTGGATCCCCAGCACCTGTGTGAAAAAGCAGTGCCCATATAATTCTAGTGCTGACCAGGGGGGAGACAGGAAGGTCCCTGGAGCTTGCAGGCCAGAACCTCTGGCTGAATTGGTGAGCTCTAGACTCGGTGACCCCGTTTCAAAAATAGTTTCAAAAATAAAACAGAAAGGACTGGAGCTATAATTCCATGATAGAATGTTTGCCTTACGTGTATGAGATCACACTAGGTTCAACCCTAGTTGAGAGTGGGGGGATGGAAAAATGGTTGAGGGAGACACTAAGCATTTACACACACACACACACACACACACACACAGAGAGAATAAAAATTAAGAGTTCATACACATCAAACTAAAAAATCTTGCCAGGACTCATGGTTCCAGACAGGTAGTGAGTAATGACCTGTGTTCAGGTCAGGCAGGACTCCTATTCCTGAACTGAAGGAGCCTGAGAGGCCCCATCTACACAATGACCCAACTTAATGTGAAAATAAAACCAGTAGCCAGGAAAACAACAAAGGCCCTGTGGCAAGCAGGCCTGAGCTTGACAGGCAGCTGGCAGCCTCCCTGATTTTGTTCCTAAATCCTAAAGGACACAGTAGGGGAAGCAATATGTCTCTCCAAACTACCACTGTTCCTCTCTTCTTCTGAGCCCACTTGAAACTTTCCTGTGTCTCCCCCTCACCCCCACCCCAAGGCTGGCTTTCCTCCCTCCACTGGGAAGCTTCCTGCCCCTGACTGCCTTCAATCTAACTCTTGTCCCAGCGTGATCCCAGTGAACAGCCTAGGCTTGTCTTCAGTCACGCAATCCTTGTTCATTTCCACACACCCAAACTCTCTTTTTCTTCTCACACTCCAGGTCAAGGGCAAATAACTCTGTTCTCTCCAAGTTATCCAGAGAAATCTACCCAGGGATGGTGGAAGGGGGTAGGGGCAGGCAAGAATAATTGAAAACTTATGGAACAGGGCATTGGCCCATGTATGCTGATCATGCTCACTGGAACAAGACATTGCCCACTCTCTTTCTACTCCCACCCTTTGTACCAGACAACCCGGCTTCAGCTGGATGGATTCAAGGACATGGGCTCCAAGGCCGGGTTAAGCAATCTTCGAACCAGAAGAATGAGCAAAAGATATAATCAAGCATTTCTCAGAAGAAATCCTGCTGCCAAAAACATAGCACAGACTGTCTGGGCCAGATACTTGCAGTACAAAACAGCATGTACATTACAGTAAGCAAGACACCGCATTCCTGTTTGCAGTATGGAACATAAATAGACAACCGGGAAGAGTTTGTACCTAGGTTAATAATATTTCCCCACCCCAAACTGAAAGATTTTGTAGTTTTAGAGTATTTCCCCCGCACTCTTGCTAAATCACACTAAGTCGTCTGCAGTGACTGTTTCTATTAAACAAATAAATTTTTAAAATACCCCAAATGACTTAATTGTCATGAATATATTAAATAGGAGTGGCTGTGGGGCCAGACAAATTGGAGGCAAAGAACTTTCCCGGCTGTGACTGCCTTCAGCCAGGGAAAAGCTGAGTGGACCCAGCAGGGACAGTGTAGCATGGCTTGGCCACCCAGAACCAAGCCCTGTGGAGTGGGCAACGCTGGGGGCCACAGCTACCCCACTTCCTCGAGTGTGCACCTTAAATAGAGTAGAGAAGGGCTCCAGACCACCTCTGGAGCCATAGTTCCTGGAGAACCGGCACCATGGGGAGGCTTACTAAGCAGCTGCCCAGAGTGAGTGAGTCAAGGTTACTTGGCCTGAGGGTGGGAGCTGCCTGAACATTCTGACCCTTGCCAGCCAGCTTTGCTCAGGCTAAATGCTGGGAGGGAGTCATGTCCTGCAGTTTGGGCACCGCAAGTGGGCTGGGGCAGGGAGGGGTAGGGCGGGGCGGAGCTCAGCGGTTGCCAGGGGCGGGGCAGCACGGCTGGCGTGGATCTCCGTGGGTGACTGCCACACACTGTTGGCTCGCTCCAGCTTGTGAGCTGCCTGTTGCTCTCTGCCCCCGGCCGCCCGTTTCCCGCCAGGAAGGTAGGCGGTCTGAGAGTGCCAGCGCGTGGGCTGCTTCCCGCCCTCCTCTCCTCCCTTCTTACCGGTGATCGAGGACCTCCCCCACACACACACGGTGTCCCCGACAGCGCGGACACTGCAAGCACCCGGCGCGTCCTGGACCAAGCGCCCGGACTCCGGGTGCCTCGCCGCGATGAACGCGAGCTTCCTGAATCACAGCGGCTTGGAAGAGGCAGGTGGTGACGCCAGGGCCGCCCTGGGGAACCGCAGCCACGGGCTGGGCACGTGGCTAGACTGCTGCCCCGGGGGCGCACCGTTGACCGCCAGCGATGGGGTCCCCGCGGGGCTGGCACCCGACGAACGCAGCCTGTGGGTGTCGCGCGTGGCGCAGATCGCCGTACTCTGTGTGCTGTCGCTCACCGTGGTCTTCGGTGTTTTCTTCCTGGGCTGCAACCTGCTCATCAAGTCCGAGAGCATGATCAACTTTCTGATGCAGGAGCGCAGGCCCTCCAAGGACGTGGGCGCCGCCATCCTGGGACTATACTGAGCTCCAGCCGCCCTCGCCAGCGTCGTGGCACCGAGGAAGGGACCGCCGAGCCTCTTTCTCAAGGCTTTAGCCACCGCCTGCGGTCAGCGACGTGGCTGGCAAGGCTCCGACCTGGACATCTCAGAATTCGGCAGCGGCAGCAGTGCGTGAAGAGACTGTCACCCCGGGGCTCTCTTCCTATGTGCGCTCCAGGGAGGGCCAGGGGCGCAGGGTTTGTCACAGGTTTTTTACAAAGAGAAGTTCGGGTTAGGGTGGAAGGGAGGGGAGAGGGAGATGCAATGCGGGGTTGAGGTCACTCGAGTGGGGATTTCGGGCATGTTGGTGGGGGCCGGTTCCAAGGAGGGCACGGGAAGAGTCTCTGAGATTTTGCAGCTGATCTCGCATTGCATCTGAAAATAAATTTTGTAATAAAACCATAGCCGTCGGGTTTCCTTATTCATTCTAATTGTTCCCTCTGTGTGTGTGTGTGTGTGTGTGTGTGTGTGTGTGTGTGTGTGTGTGTGTGTTTGTGCGGGGGGGGGAGGCGAAGGAGGGGAACATGTCCTAATTCTGGCTCCAGTTTGGTTGTCTGTGCAGCAGACAACTCCGGAGCTCCTTGGGTTCTCAGACCAAGGCGAGAGAAAAAGGAATTGTTTTTGTTTTTTTTGTTTTTTGTGTTTTTTTTTTTTTTTTTTTTTTTTTTTTGTTGGTTTGGCTTTTTTCCCTTTCCCACCAGAATAGAGGAGGCAGGTCCTTTGGGGCAGCCAGACAGTTGGTAAGATTAATTAAATCGCTGGAAATTTTAGTCTTCTTCATAAAGTGGAAATAGAAAAAGAAGTGAACAGAATCCAAAAGGGGGAGGACTATGAATAAAATAAATATATCAGATAAATTAATTTGGGCTGGATCTAATAAAAATTCCATGCTGAGCCCACATGCCCCATTAAAGGGCTTTTTTGCCCCACCCTTTTACGTGGTAGATGGATGGACTCAAGCCTCTTAAATGAACTGTGGATGCCGTTTCTTCCGGCACTCGACCCTCCCATTAAGAAATGCACCCTCTACTCTCTGCAGACCTGAAACCCAGTTCTGCAGGGGATTTGGTGCTTATAGGCCAGAAGGAAAAGAAGGGGGGCATTTGCTGTGAGGGACAACTGGGCTCAGGCCACCTCAGGGAGAAAGCTTTTGACCTACATGTACCCTCTTAGCCAGTTCAGGCATATAGTGCTTGGGGAGGTTTCCAGGGAAAAGGGCTCAGATCCCTCCCTTTCCTCTCCAAGTGGGTGGAAATAAAGGCAAATGGGAGAAAAGATGGCTGAAGCCTTTCCTGGCTTTAGAATGGGAAGCAGGAGAGACCTTCTCTCTTTGGCAACAGTTGGGGCGAGGAGTAGGAGGTGGGGAGTTTCTTAATAATAAAAAGAAAAGAAGTGATTGAGTCTGAAGGGTGTGGACTCTTCCTGGCTCCCACACAGTTCTGTGCAGTCATAGATATGGAGATATGTTCCTTTCACCATCCTGACATTTCAGTAACATATCTGGGGACTCATCCACCGGATGCACAGGCCAGTGAGTCCAGGTATCACACAGCCCTTGTTAAATATCTATGAGACAACCCCCGAGCATGGAATGAATATTGGGATGTTGATAATTAGCATTGTCTGCTGTAGCCTGTCTGATTGGGCGGGGATGGGGCTTGGAAGATGGGGGCAGCTGGGACACTATGATTCTGGACTCTTGGAATGAGCACAGGTGCCTGGAGTCTGGGCCACCTAGTGGCTAGGAGAATGTCACTCAGATCTCAAATGACTGCAAAGAGGTTTCTTTCTTTCTTTCTTTCTTTTTTTTTTTTTTTTTTTTTTTTTTTTTTGAGACAGGGTTTCTCTGTATTGCTCTGGAGCCTGTCCTGGAACTCGCTACAAAGAGGTTCTTTAACTCCCCCAAAAAAGGGAAATGGGGGGGGGTGTTGAGGAAAGATAAGGACTTCAGATGTCTGCCTGGCCAGGCTCTAATGAACACTGGGAACTCCCTGCAGCAAAATGGCCTGCTACTGAAGTGACAAGAGGTGGTTGTTCAACAGTTAAGATTCTAAAATTCCAACGAAGAAAAGTCTTAGTGGAGAAGCCTTGCATGGTCTGTCTCGTTGTAAACAAAGACCTGTCTGAGAAATATCACTAGTGTTTTGTTGGTTTTTGAGATAAAAATTCTAAGGTTCCTATGTAGCCCAGGTTGGTCTTAAACTCAAGATCCTCCTGCCTCAGTCTCCTGTGTGCCAGATGCATGCATGCATGCAACAACACTCCAGGCTTACCATGGGTGTTTGGCTGCCCACTCCACAGTGTTCAAGCATGCATTCATTCATAGGCAAATGTGCATGGGAGCTTGTTCGCATGCAGGTACAGGCAAAGTCCAGGCTCAAGGAAAAAACAAAACAAACAAACAAACAAAAACAAAACAACAACAGGCAGGTTTTGGGAAAGGGAGGAGCAGTCACATGTGTAACCATCTCATTCCTACAGCCCAGGAAGGGAGGGGGTGTTATTGACAAAATGTCTTATGTAAACCTCAGAAAAAGGAGGAAGGGTTATTTGAGGTAGAAACCAGTAAGGCATTGTGCTCCAGGAGAAAAGCAACCCAAGATCAGAGTCTTGAACCTTGGAACTTTGGGGAAAAGCTCTTTCTCTGTCCCCAATCCTTGTGCAGCAAGAATTCTCCCCTGTATGAGGCTGGCTCATGATTCAGTGGCCAAATCTCAGAGCTTCCCAGATTTAGCAAGGAGAAATGTGGGATCCTTGTCTGAGAAAGCCTCACTGTCCGGTTTCCCTACTCTGTGACTTCAAAGAAGTAGCTCAGCCTTCTGTGCCTCAGTTTCCTCGTCCGCACAATAAGAGTGGTTAGGACTCAGAGCTCCCGTGCCATGCATGTGATGTGGCTAGCACAGGGCCTGGCACTGGAGGGATAGCCAATAAAGAAAATACCAGCATCACCGTTAGCTTTATTTAATATATGAGCTCCTTCCCCAGTAAAATGGAACTGGCCTTACGAAACGAGAGCCCTGAACAGAAAAATAATAACAATTCATATTCATGCCACATTTTGCTGTTTTCAAAGTACATTCATAAGCAGGATGGGAACCTGGAAACACTTCATTAAGTCCCCAATTTGTGAAGCACTGACTTCCTATCCTACTAAGAAAGGCGTCATTAACACTCCCATTGTACAGATGAGGAAATTAAGGCTCAAAGAAGCTGCCTGAGTCACATCCTAGAACCTTGCTGAGAAAGAGGAGCAGACACCCTCTCAGCGGCAGTTATGGGGAAGGAAATTGTCATTCGACTTAATGGACTTACCCACATTCATTCTCTCAACTAGAATCAACAGCAAATCAACTGTGGATCAGGTCCTGGGCCAGGAGTCTGCAAGGGTCCAGTCCCAGCATGCCATTCTTGAAGCATCAACACCAGCCCTGGGATAGGGCAGCTGGAACTCAATTAAATCCTCTATTCCCTGTCCTCTGACCCTGGAGTAGAGGACAGTTGGGAGTGTTAATACCCACACCTCCACTCCCTCCCCCACTTGCCTGTCCAAATTTCCACAGAAGAGTGCACAGCTGTGGTCAAGCCCCGCTGTCCACTGATCCAGGCACCACAGCAGATCAGCAGTTCCCTGGGGCTGACAGAGCTGGTTTCAGAAGGAAAGAAGGGAGCAAAAAGCCCAGTGTCTGTCACCAGTGGCCTCACTGCCCCAACCGATGGCTCTTGGCTGAGCAGAACCGGGCTATACAGAGGCAGGGGGGACATGCCACCACTTTTTTCTCCAAGCTGCCATTCAGCCAAGGGCTCTAGCAACTGGGACCCTCATCCTGGGGTCCTTTTCTGACCCCACTTCCCTTGTGTTTTCTCAGAGCCAGGACCCATGCAGGAACATCTTCCCATCCTAGCTAGAACAGGAAGCAAGAATAGGAACAGGAGTAGGAGAGAAAAGGAAAGGGGGAGCAGAGAGAAGATGGGATGGAGGAGGAAAGAGGAGAGAAGAGAAGGTAGAGGCCCAGCAGGAAGTTAAGGTCCCCCCCACATCCCTGCAAAGCCCCACAGGGTCTCTGGCTATACACAGGCCAACCGAAGCCACTTCTGAGTCTGTTGAAAATAAAGAGGAGGAATAGAAGCATTGAGGGGGTGACTGGGGTGGTCCCATCCCTATGACATGGGATCTGAGTCCTCTGCCAACCACATAACCCCCCTTTGAAGGTGACTCTTTCTCAAAACCAGGCCTGGGCCCCACTCCTCCATACTCCATAATGTATCATCCCTAGTACAGAAGGGAAGGCACCCTAAGGGGTGTAGTTCAGCTCATAGGGGGGAAAAAGGAGCAATATCGTGGATAAATAAGAATCTGGGAAAACAAATGGGTTGATGGATTTTTATTCAGGGGGAAAAAATCACACCAGAAACAGATGACCGCCAGCAGGTTTCCATCCCAAGGATGCCTCCGGATGCTCTGTCTCTGACCAGGAAGCAAGAGAGAGTGCTGAGGTCTGGGACCCCAGACCTAGTTCCCCCAGGTCACGCCCACACCTGCCCCCTCCTCCAGAATGGACATGGTCAGAGCAACAGGTGCGGGCAGGGTGGATATCTCACTACAGAGCAAAGGCTGGGCAGCGGGTGGAGGGCTAGGCAGGTATATACAGAGACACAGGGCTTGGGACTGAAGAGACACGCCTCAGATTTCCCTGCTGTTAAAGAAAGCCACTCACCCTGCCAAAGCTTCAGTTCCCTCGTTTATAAGCACATTAGCTGACCTTGGAGTGGATGAGAAGTTAAATGATAACACGTCTGAAAGCTCTCCATAACACTGAATTAAGCGAAAAGAAACATTTTTAAGTGTCCATGCATCTCCTCCCTGATCCATGTGAGGTTCAAGGACAAGCAGAGGATGTAGTTAGTCAAGGTGGCATGAAAGGATGAACCACAGGAGCCACACAGCCACGTGAACGTCAGCTCAGACCAGTACGTACAATCTGTGGCGGTCACACTCAGTGTGGTTTTCCTTGTAAAAGTGCACAGTTAGGAATTTCGCATTATTACAGCAGCAGCAGCAGCAACAACAACAACAAATAGAATGGGCAAAAAAGCTGTCCCAGTCCTTCAGCCGGGAAGCATCACTGTGGATTCTTTGCTATAATTCCTTTTGTAGGTTTAGGAGTCAAAACAGCAGTAATTGGACTTTTTAGTTTTAAAAAGATGTTCTTATAGAATATATGCCATTTTGAGCATGACTTGAACAGTTTGAAATGTGTGACTATTTTCACTTAGCAATACACAGTGGTAGGTTCGGGTTGGGTACTGACATCACATGCACCATAGTTTTTCATTATGCACCCATCACACTTTAGCTAAGTTGGGTACCATACCACTCTGTTTCCAGGTGAGTGGAAAGGTCCCA